CTGTCAATGTTATATGCTAGACAGCAACAAATACTGTCTACAAAAACCTCTTGACAATGCTTTTGTGTTGTTTGTATTATGATTATCCAACTGATGGTCTAGAGACAAATGAAAAGTTCAGAGCAGTATAGAAGTCATATACTTATTATTTATGTCCTCCCCTCTTTGAGAGAACAGAAAGAGTACTATACTCATGGATATTTCCATAGTCATTTACATTGGCACATCCCTATATAAGTGAGGAAGAAAACATTAACAAGAGCCACTAAAAGCCAGTTGCAAATTCCCTTCATTCCTAAATTAGATGTAGAAACACAAAAAGAAGGATTAGTGATGTTAAGTTTGTATACTCTCGGATTTACTAATTCATCGCTTACTCTGCTGCTGCTGATGTTGGTAATGCCAAGCTGTTATCAGTCAGTTCTTCCGAGGGTGATTCCGATTCCAGCTGAGTGTTAAAGCTCTTTGTAGAGTGGAACTCAATTTGCAGCCTCTGATGAAGTGGTGTAGATGCCATCAACCCTTTCTTCACATCAACTTGTAATTCCCTAATGGGGATTGCTGCCAAAAAAAAGCCAGTTGCAAATTCCCTTCATTCCTAAATTAGATGTAGAAACACAAAAAGAAGGATTAGTGATGTTAAGTTTGTATACTCTCGGATTTACTAATTCATCGCTTACTCTGCTGCTGCTGATGTTGGTAATGCCAAGCTGTTATCAGTCAGTTCTTCCGAGGGTGATTCCGATTCCAGCTGAGTGTTAAAGCTCTTTGTAGAGTGGAACTCAATTTGCAGCCTCTGATGAAGTGGTGTAGATGCCATCAACCCTTTCTTCACATCAACTTGTAATTCCCTAATGGGGATTGCTGCCAAAAAACTCTTAATGTACTCTTTGCAAGCCTCTTTACCTTTGCAAACAAGGCTTGGTTCGTCCTCATTTTCAGGTACTTTATCTCTGAATGCAACGGTTGATTCTTCCATCTTTTCATTGGTGTTATTTGAGACAATCTTCCCTTCATTAGCAGCCTGCTTCTTATCAGTTTGCTCCTTTTTAGTGCTAGCTGGTTTCTCATCTGATTGTTGACTCGTGTTAGGTAGCTGCAAAATTGTAGTGTCTCTGTCGAATTTGAGGATGAAAGCCTGGTTGCAGCCTTCATACAGTCTCTCACCAAGTGTATCGATGATATAGTATGCATCTCGTTCAACCTTGAGGATGAAGAAGTGGTCATTCCAACTCACAATGTAAACAAAGCACTCGCCATGACTGGGACTGTCTTGAACAGATTTAGTAATCTCATCCCAAATGTTGTCAAAGGACATGGCATCTTTGAGAAAATCGAATCCCTCATCTTCGATTCCTTCCGGATGAAAAAAACCAATGAATGATTTCTCTGGGACTACTGAGAGCGGGCGTACTTTAGCCTGGACCACTGTTTCGAGGTCAAAATGCTTATCTGGGAAACG